ACACTACCAGCTGCACGATCTGTTCAGTTTTGCCCTCTTGCAAAGGTGGCGTTTGAGGGTCTTCATCAGTTTTGCAGCATAACACAGCGTGTGTTTTCCTCCATGCTGAAGGCATTACACGAGCTTTTGATTGACAATGAAGAGCGTGTCTGGTATGCTGCAGCAGGTATGGATCAGCATGTACAGCTAATTGCTAGGCATGCAGGCATGAGAGGATTACATTGCTAATCTAGGTATCTTTCCTGCCTTATCACCACCCCCTTCCTCCTGCCACACGCATGCACACGTATTTGGATCCTCTAAGGAGTGGAAATCAAAAGAGGTGTGGGGGAGGGAAATAAGGAGTGTGGCTCCCTGAGAGCTTGCAGCGTCTGAGAGAGGACAGGTCCCTTCCAGCTGTTTCTGTGGTATCAGGGTGGCTCTGGTGGCAGACCCTCCCTCCTCCCCTGGGATGGCACGGGTGGCCACAGGAGGGTTAGAAGATTGCAGAGGGTAATAATGAAGCACTGTGTCCCGGCGCCTTGCGCTCCGACCCACGTTGGTGTTCACAGTTCTGTTTGGTGCCTGCCAGTGCTCACGTCTGGACTGGTGGCACTGGCATTTTGGTTCTTCTTGAGCAGCTTGTTTCTGTCTTGCATGCCCAGCCAGAGGTGTCGGGGAAGGAGGTTTGTGGTGCTGAGTTGGAATCCCTGCAGGGCAACAAGATGTTGTGGGGCAGATGGAAGCATAACTCCCAGACTAATTCCCTGCAAAATCCGGAGTGGTATTTCTCAGCCAGAAGCAGCTCCCTAGGAGTAGGGAGTACATGCATTTGTTCTGCCTAAATAGTTCACACGATGCTTGGCAAGCTCAGCTCTGTCCAGGTAGTATGAAGTGGGCAGTTGGGGACACAGGGTAGCACCATAGGCTGCCTGTAAGGTGTATCAGTGGGTAAAGGCTATAACGAAATCCAAGGGAAGAAGCTAGTGGATTTTGCTTGTCCTACAGTGGCCCTCAGATGGTCCCACTAGCCTGTGTAAGTTGTTTTACTCCTGAAGAGCCTTCAGCATAAGGCTGCCATGGTGCTAAGTGATTTTCACAGCATTGTTTTACCAGCTTGAGCTAGGGAGCCTCTGGCTTCCAGCTGACGCTCCTGCGTCACTTAACAAGGAAGTGGCATCTCAGGAAGGTTTGCTGCCTTGCCTGGGAGTACGTGAAATGTTGGTAGCTCTCTGGTTTGTGTCCAGCACATAAAAGCTTTAATAGCCTACCCTTTGGAGGTGGTTGGGTTTTGGATACCCAAGGATGAACCAGAGCCAGCCTGCGGAAAAGGGAGACACCTGGGTCATCTTTGTCTACATGGGCAGAGTTCAGCATGGCACCAGGAGCTGCTGGAAACAGAGCTGGTCCTGGGGCTTGGAAGAAAGCATGTTGAGGTGTGCACCAAGTCCAGACCTAGGAACTCCAGTCTCTGCTCCCCATTTCTTTTCTGGGAGACTGTAAGCCAGTGCCTTGTCCTAAAGTTAGCCTTACATACCTCACCAGCTGCCTGTTGATTGCACATTATTGAGGTATGTGCATTTGAGATGCGTTTGACTGGAGCTGTGTGTGCAGGCTTCATGAGGAGGGATGCCCATGGGCACCGCCCCGGCAAGAGGGGAGCAACTCCGGGCTCCCCTGCCCTCCTCCTCCTTGCAGCAGGGCCCTGGGACTCTCCCTAGCTGGGTCCTTCACACCCTCTAGTGGCAATATTTACATTTAATATTTCAGGAGCTTTCAAAACTTGGCGGGGATTGTGGGCACTCTGTGCTTAGCAGCCCACCTGCCGCCAAGTACCTGTCCCAGTGCCCTCTGCAGTAAACTGTGGCTTGGGGGCAAATAGGAAATGCTGTATTTCTTGCTCTTTTTTTCAGTGCAAGTGCAAGCTCAATGCTGTCAGCTGTGGCCAGGCTCAGCAGACTGGCTCAGGGATGGCAGTAGCGCAATAGGTTTGCTCCCAGGAAGTGCTTTTCAGCCACTCATCTCCCTGTCCAGCCGCTCACTGCCGAACCTAACCTTGATGCTGGAGAGAGGGAAGCTCTGCTGACACCTCCGGGGGATCATGACAGCTGCAGGGGTGGACCTGTGTTGGAGGACAAGGAGGAAGCAAGACTGGATGCTGGGGGGAAGTGCAAGGCAGGCTGCCTGTATGGCACGCTGAAAAGAGGGAAGAAACAGGCAGGAGCTGGGTGAGAAAAAGCAGGCAAGAGGACATGTCCTGCAGCGATCCTCTTGGCTCTGGTTCAGGTGTGGCCCCACTCCCCTTCACAGAGTGACACCTCTCAGCTAAGCTTACCCTTGCTTTCAAGTGGAGCTCAGCTTGCAGATTGCCCCCAGAAACCCTGGTGCTTCCCACAGCAGGCGGCTGTGAGATGGGTGCGAGCGGCTCGGCAGCGTGATGGCTGGCAACAGAACCAGGGCTCCCAGGTGAACACCATGCAAAGAGTTATTCGTGTCTTGATCTGCAAACTGATGTCCTTGAAGCCTGAGCAGGATAACTGGCTTGGGAGGAACTTCTCTTCTGATAACACACCTCGCTGTGCGTGCTGTTGTGCCCTGGTGAGCACCTTTGTGGCGTTCCCTGCTTTCTTTTCTCTCCATGGCTTCCAGGCCTCATCTGTTCCAGCCTGATGGGCTAGCCATGCCTGCAGGCCTCTTGCTGGCACAGGCCAGCGGGGTCTGTGCCTTGGGGTGGTGCGTGCGGCCCTGCTGCGGGAGTCCCCGGTGCTCTGCAGCACTCAGAATGAAATGCTCGTTGGGCTTCTGAAATGAGCTGTGACCTGCTGCCACGTTCGTCTGCCTCTTGAGAACGGCGTTTTCCCCTTTCTCCTACCCGCCTTCCCCCCTCCCTAGACCTGGTACCCGAGGCACATCTTGCAGTATAACTAAAAAAGTTGTTTGTGCATCACTGGTGAAGCACAAGAGCAGTGGTGCGAAGCACAGAGCCTTGCCACTGGCCCAGCCAGCTCAGGGCTCCCTCCTGTCCCTCCTGACGTCTGATCCTTTGAAAACTGGGCTTTTATTTAGCGGGCAGGTCTCTAGTCCTCCTTGTTAGGAAGGTGACACCAACTGGATGTATGTCTGTGCCAGGCTGATTTAAGACAGCGGCCTCAAGGCTGTGTGCAACCCAAAAGATCTTACCAGTTCCTCTAACTGGGAGGATCTTGGTTGGCATCTTTAACCAAAAGAGCAGGAGGAATGCAGCACAGCGTCTCAAGCATTACACAGTTAAAATTACAGCCTTTAATAGCATGCTGCTGCCTCCTGATTTTTCTCCAGGAATGCATTTTGCAGTAGCTTGGCCACGTGGTGTAAAAGATGCTCACCCTCCAGACAGGTTATGACCTGGAAATACGAATAATGTAATTTATTTAAATAACATAAGAAAAGTTATAAGAGCCCGTAGCTGGAGGGCAAAGAGAAAGGAGCTGTGTGGCTCTGGAAATTATTCAGAAAGGTTTGAAATGAGAAATTTGAATCTCATCATGCAGGCAGCGTGAACTGACAAGGTTAGTTGCCACTGTCACCACTGGCAGGGGAGTTGGAGAGAAGGAGGAAAGGCAAAGTGAGGTGGGCTCCTGGCGATGGTCTGCCAGAGGCTATTGCCAGGGACCCAGGGATGGGAGCACCAGTGAGGAAGATGAGAGTAAGGGAGGGAGATGTGGCTGCGGGGATGGGGGCAGTGGCTTGCAATGTAAATGGCCTTACCAGGTACTTTCCCTGTCAGGGCAGTAAATTTCCTGGGTAGTGAACTCATGGTAAAAGTGAATGCCCCTGTCTGGGCTAGATGCAGCAAGATTTCACTCTCATTTACTCCATCTTGTGACTTTTTTTCTTTACCCTCTTCTGCATTGACTTTTCTGCCAGAAATAATGCTAGCGGTTGTCTTCACTGCAGCTCATTGCTTTCTGTAGCCATGCCTGAACGAAACAGATGCAGCTTTTGGCAGCTCAGCTAATTTCGTCAAAGTTTCTAGTGCTATCAGTGAAACTGAACTAAGATATGTTAATTCTATTCCACCGGTACGCTGCGAAACCATGGGCATTAACAGGCTCGCTGGCGCTTGCCTATCTGCAGAGCTGGGGAGGTTTGCATTCTTCTTTCCACGTGAAGTTTCTTGAGACAACGGAGTCTAGAAAGGCTTCTTTTTCAGAAAGTCTATCTTCTGGTGATAGAGCTTCTTGCTAAAATTAAGATGCTTCCTAAAATCGAGCAAGGTTGGGGGGCTGCAATTGTTTTTTCATCCTGATTTTCGCAGCTGTGCTTGTTTTCCTCCGGTTAATCAACTGGAAAAGTAGCCAGCAGTTTTATTACCAAGTGCCTTGATGTGGCTGTGTCCCGGGAGCAGGCGCTGGGCGTGTTGCAGTTGCATTGCTGCCCTCAAGAGTCACTTCCCTCCAAATGCAGAAACCCCTTCGTTTGGCCTAAGGGGGTCATTAAAACGTGAAAGGATATAAACAAAGGAGCGGGGAGCTGGATCTCATGACTTTTTTATGAGGGAAGATTAAAGGAACTAAATATGTTTAGCTTGGCCCCAATAGGACTGAGGGGTGAAGACAACGGTGCAGGGCTAAGGAGTGGCTGAAGGATGTGATCAGGAGGGGATCACGAAGCATGCTGGGGGGCACATGATGAAGGGGAGGCTGCCCGTGATGAAATGCCTCAATGGGAAGTGGATGTATTAAGCTGTGCTGCTCTGCAGCGTGATGGAAAACCCTGTGCAGTCCCTGGGGCCATTGAACAGGAATTTGAGCACAGCACTGGAGTATGTGCTGCAGGTCACTGTCTTTCCCAGCCAAGGGCTTTGGGGGCTATTCTCCTCGTTTTGGGGGCTAACAGGGCTTTGCTAATACTTAACAATTAACTACAGCTGTAAAAAGAAACCTCTTCCCCAGGCCTCCTTTAACACATCTGGGCTTTAGACTCAGCATTTCGGTGTTGCTGATTCTTGGGCTGTGTCTCCCCATCTCCCTTTGCTGCAGTGATCCCCGACTCGCTGAGAGTGACGGCGATCCCGCAAACACTGAACAAAGTGGAACGCGACTCCCTGGAGCTGAAGTGTGAGGTGTCTAAGAGCACAGCCCAGCACAGCCATGTCTCCATCGCCTGGTACCGGCAACGAAGCAGCGAGGCACCAGTGGAGGTCATCTCCCTCAGCCGTGACTTCGTCCTGCGAGCTGGCAGTGCCTACGCCCAGCGGCAAGCCACAGGGGACGTTCGCTTGGACAAAGTTGGGGAGACCACCTCAAAGCTCACCATCTACAACCTCCACCCATCAGATCAGGGTGAGTTTTACTGTGAGGCAGCGGAGTGGATCCAGGACCCAGACAAGACTTGGTATGCCATGACCCGCAAGCGTTCCCAGGGTGCCATCATCAACGTGCAAGCCACCGGTGAGTGTCTCCTCTGCCTTTTCTCACTTGGCTGGGTGGTGGGAGGAGGCAGAAAATGGGGCTGCGCCTTGTTAGGTGGCTGGGGCTTGGATCCCTCCTTTGGCATGTGGCCCGCTTGGTAGGCTGCTGGCGGGGTGAAGCAGAGCAAAGGAGGGCCCAGGCGCTCCCTGTGGGTAGGGCAAATGTCAGCAAAGAGCAACTACAGGACACTGGAACAGCAAGGGGGCTTGGGTGGCAGGCCCTGTCTCCTGACATAGTCAGCAATGTGAGGCTGACACAGGAGCTAAAACATACATCTTAAGCACTTAGTGCTAGCAAAGGCAATGAGAATTTTGGTGAGGAAGTAAGAATGATAAAGGAGAATGTAAAAACTAAAACTTTCAGCAAGCACTTCTGTATTGCACAAGGTCCATTTATAAGTCAAAATCCTTCTCCCAGCCTGTAGCACAGGTTCCTGCTAAGGATCTAAAGACCCAGCTGAACTCTTTCTTCCTCTCTGATATCCCCAAAGGCCCTGCCTCTTGACACTGCCTGAGCAGGGTGTGAGTAGGAGTAGGTTCACAGAATCACAGAATGTCAGGGGTTGGAAGGGACCTCGAAAGATCATCTAGTCCACCCCCCCTGCCGAAGCAGGACCACCTAGAGTAGATCACACAGTCGTGAGAGGGCGAGATACAACCAGCTTAAGCTGAGACAAAAGAGGTTCAGATGGAATACAGAAAATAGTTCTTTTCACACAGATGTTGTGCAGCCTCCATCTTCAGTGGTTTTTAAGAACCAACTGCATAAAGCCCTGAGGAACATGATGTGGTCTTATAAGCTGACCGTGGTTTGAATGGGAGGCTGGACTAGATGACCTCCTGAAGTCCCTTCCTATTTGAATTCTGTGATTCTATGAAAGCAAATATGCAAGTATTTCCCAGTTGATAGAAAGGCAATAGATAGTTACATTGAGGACGTGCTTTTGATCGTGGGATTTCGTAGTTTGCTTAATTTTGATACATTCAATGTTTTTTCAGACGTGATTGATTGTGACCAGCCTAAATTGTTAAGGACACTTCTGTTCATGTTTTGTTGTATTTCAGCAATTTGAGGTTTGAATATTCTTGTTGTTTAGCTGTATGTTTAGTTTTTGGTCACTTATCATTTGTGAACTTCGAAGTGTACCCAAATTTCAGAAATACACTTTTTGGTCTGTTTAGCCTCTACGCCGCCCTGACTCCTCTGATGACCGCTATGTGATGACCAAACATGCTGCATGTGGGGTTGTTCTTTCCCAGATGCAAGACTCTACACTTGCCCCTGTTGTATTTCATTAAATTTCTGCCCGCCCAACTCTCCAGCCTGTCCAGGTCTCTCTGAATGACAGCACAGCCTTCTGGTGTGTCAGCCACTCCTCCCAGTTTTGTGTCATCAGCAAGGGTGATGAGGGTGCACTCTGTTCCCTCATTCAGGTCATTGACGAATATATTGAATAGTACTGCTCCCAGTACTGACCCCGAGGGACTCCACTAGATACAGTCCTCCAGCTAGACTCTGTCCCATTGACAACAACTCTCTTGACTTCTTTCCTTCAACCAATTCACAATCCACAGGTCCATCCCACAGTGCCACTGGATGCTGGTGTCACAGCAGAGCTATTCCTAGGAATAAAGGCTAGAGGAGAGGATAATGACTGGGGAAGCCTTGCAGCTCTTGCATGCTGGGCAGTAAGCTGTCTGTCCTGCAGCATGGCCGGTCTCGGCTCTCACAGCAAAAGCAAGCCCCTGACCCCTCTACCTGCGAATGTACATGTCTGAGGGATATTGACCTTGCAGGGAGCAGCAAGTTGTGAATACCTCACATGAGGTGTGCTAGCTCTCCTGGTGGGCTTTGCCACACTGACATGGGTTGGTCTCTCTCTCCCCAGATAAGGAATTCAGTGTCCGGCTGGAGACAGAGAAGCGTACATACATTGTGGGTGAGCCGGTGGAGTTCCGATGCATCCTGGAGGCACAGAACGTCCCTGACCGCTACTTCTCCATCTCCTGGGCCTTCAACAGCTCCCTCATCGCTAGCCTGGGACCCAACGCCGTGCCGGTGCTCAACAATGAGTTTGCCCAGCGCGAGACGCTGGGCCAGCTCAAGGTAGCCAAAGAAAGTGACAACGTTTTCGTGCTGAAGATCTACCGCCTCCGCCTTGAGGACAGTGGCAAGTACAACTGCCGTGTGACTGAGCGAGAGAAGACCGTGACGGGGGACTTCATCGACAAGGAGAGCAAGCGGCCAAAGAACATCCCCATCACTGTCCTGCCGCTCAGTAAGTAGAGGCTTGCCCATCCCCTCCTGGGGCCATTGCTCTACTGGGAAGCTCGCTGGTGAGGCCGTGATGTGTCCAGACTTTGGCGGTGAGGAAGAGGGAGGAGAAGAGATTACATGCTGTGGAGGCTTGAAATCTCAACTGGCAAGATTTGTTTTTATTTCGATGGGAAGGGGATAATAGGAGAAGGAGGGCTATGTGTCAGGTTCGTAGGTGGGGAAACGTGCACCCACCCTGGTAATGACACCAAGCTGTCAGTTTTGTCCTTGAGCTGAAGGTGTGTGTGACAGCCTCTGACTTGCTCCTCACACCTCTTTCCTCACCTTGCTCTGCAGGGAGCTGGGTGCTCCAAAGTGCTCAGCAGGCATAATGGGGAGACCAGCTTGGCCTAGGAGCTGCTAGGTTCCTACAGGTCATTCAGCAGCTGTTCAGCTGTCTTGTAAGACAGCTGTACTGGGTGAAACCAGAGTTCATGTGCTCCTTGAGCCTTGGTTTGGTCTTAGCATAGAGCTCTGTTGTGGTCACTGTATGTCTGCCAACCCTGGTGAAAACAACCCTGCTGGAGGCTTGCCTGAATGCCTTTTATCTTTGTCAAACAAACATGATAAATACAGAAATAACAGGGTGAGAGGAGAGGGTCCGTGACTCATTCCTTGTTTTGCTTTCTGAAACTCAGGTAGCTGTGGCATGATGAACCATGCACTTGTTGCCCAGGCTACCCTGGCAGTGGGCTTTGACCAAGGAGAGGGTAGCTGTGAGAGGGTTTTGAGCGATGTTTGTCTCCTATCTCAGGTTTGTAGGAAATGCAGCCCTTTCTTCTAGCTTTTTTTCCCCTCCTCATTTCTCCAAAAGAAATTCCATTTCTTTTCTCTCCTACCGATATTTGGTCTCATTTTTTTGGCTTCGAAAATTACTTTAGCTAGAAATCTTGCACTGGACAAATGTCTAAAATGTAGTGCTTCTAGGCACAGCTACCTTTCACACAGGTTTCATTCTTTCCATTTAATAAATCACCAGCTCTAGGAACAAATGTGATCATTTTTCAAGGGTGCTAAGTGTCCATAACTCCCAATGGAAGACAGCAGTAACCACCACTCAGTATCTCTGAAAAACCAGCCTTAAAGCCTTACATCTCTGGGAAGCTCAGGATACCAGTTTTTTTTGTGATGTTACCAAACATTGATAGCTAGCTCTAGTGTCACTAGTGATGGGATTTTAGGAGAGCTCCCAAAAGGTGTTGTAGGATTGGACGTGGCAAGAAGGTGATCAGGATGACATGAATTGAAAAGCCCAGGGAGCTGGAAGCCTTTTTTGGCAGAGCCGGTTGCATGCGGTGCATGTTGTAGCAACACAGATTCCCTCAAGTTTTGCTGAGATTCCATCCTGGACCTGCAACCAGAAGATGCGGCAATGTCTCGTGAGCCATAGGCAGAGAGATTTCTCCCAGCTTTGGCCTACACCTGCTTTGAGTGTGCAAGTCACCAGGAGCAGCTCGCTGCCCACAGGCTGTTTTTGGATGTGGTCACGCATGAGGTTAAGACGTGCCTGGACCCAAATGTGTGGGCAGTTTCCTGCACCTGGTAGAAAGCCTCTCTGGCCGGCAGCGTCCTTCTTGCAGACCGAGAAGTGGCGAGTGTGTATCATCTCCCCTGTGTGTATGCGTTTCTCTCCTTAGAGACCAGCATCTCCTTGGAGATTATCAACAACGCCAGCAATGTCTTGGAGGGGGAGAGCCTGCGCTTTGGCTGCAGCGTGCGCTCAGGCTTTGGGCCCCAAAGCCGCTTCTCCGTCGCCTGGCAGCTGGTGGACAAGCTGAACCGGCGCAGCGAAATTGTGCGTCTGGATCGGGAGGGCACCCTGCAGCCGGGCCCCTCGTACGCCGAGCGCAGCAGCTACGGGGGCATCCAGGTGGAGCAGGTCCGGCCCGGCTCCTTCACCTTGGAGATCTTCAACAGTGTCAAGGCGGATGAGGGCCACTACGAATGCCGGGTGGCCGAGTGGACGCGGACGCTGGATGGGGAGTGGCAGATGGTTGGGGAGCGGCACGCGGGCACCCCGGTGTCCATCACTGCTCTGGGTGAGTACTTGAGGTGCAGGGGGCTGTGTGGCCGTGCTCCCTGCGTGCCCAGCCCCCACCACCCAGGAGGTCACCTGTGAATATCTGGGGCTGCACTTGGCACCCTTGCCCTTGCTTGCTGGCGAAATGAAGGTACCCAGCAGCCTGCCTGCAGCTCCTGGTAGGTTGATGCAAGACACCTGCATGCCCTGGCGCCTGTAGGGGCAAAGGCTGAGGGGTGGCTGTGGCAGGAGCAAAGCAGGGGGTGGCTAAGGAGAGGGGCAATGCTTCCAGCATCCTTCTGAAAAAAGAGGCTGCCAGTCCCATGACATGTCCCCCCAGCATTGGAGCCAGGCTATGAGCAGTGCAGCGGTGGTGCTCCATCGGCAGCCCATGGGCATCGAAGCCTCCTTGCCTGCCCTGGGTAAACCTTACCTCCACTTGCCAGACCAGGAGAGCAAAACACTGGGCATCTGGTGGCCCAACCACCAGAAATTTTGAGCATCTCTGACAGCGTCAGAAGCCTGCAGAAGACACAGGTCAGGAATGGTCCTTACTGCCTCTGCAAGGAGGCGCTGAGCTGCTGGCCCCGAACTACAACGTTGTTCATGCCCTAGCCAAACTAGGACCTGGGATCATTGCAGCTAGTACTGTGCTCTGTAAAAGGGCTCCTCTATTTAAACACAGTGAATCCACATCAGTTTAGGAGAGGGCAGGTGGGGCATTAGGGATTTTGCACGGATTGTGAATTACTTTGGTCCCGCTCAGGCCTTGCTATATTAAGTCCTGGACTAGTTCCCAAAGTGCTCTGCAAGAGACTGAAGAAGGGATGACTGCTCCTATATAGAGGTCACTGATTTGCAGAATGCCAGGGCTATAAACAATGGGGAGCTCTGTTGAAAGGCCAAGATAGGAATTTTGGTGTGGGGGTTTTTTTTTTGGTTCTCTACAGTATTAATCTTAAGCTTTGGCAAGATGTGTGAGAGACCAGACTTCAAAGTTGTATCATATTCTGACTAGCATCTTGCTTTTTTTCATACTTTCCTCCCTTTCACTTTTGACCTTCTTTCAGAGGCTGTTTTGTCTGGAGCTAGAAATCTTTGCTATATAGCTTTCAAAAGTAGGTGGGGCTGTTAGTTTATAAAGAACTAAAGGCAGATTCTCATGGGGTTTCAATAGAGTCTTCCTCATGAGGTCAGCAGCATTTGGCCTGCTGTAGGTCCGTGTATTGGCCACTCTTTTTACTCTGCCACTTGTAGAAGTGTTGAGATTAAGCACTGAGATTTTAAAATATATCATTTTTACTCGTGTTAAAATTTAAGATGCTTGAAATTGACCAGCACTTCTAGAAGATGTGATGGAAAGGTAGTTGTCCCTCCTCCTCCTCCGCTCCTTGTCCCAGAGAAGTCATCAGCTGTTAAGCATGTTCTGTCAAGTCCTAAGAAATTCCTAGGTCCTCTTCCTATAGCTAGCAAAGCTGAAGTAGTTCATGAAAATTTAGTGGAGAAAATATTGAGTATTGTTTCATTGCTGCTGAATCTGATATTTTTTGTTCAGTGTAATGTTTTTGAAGTGTCCTGAGAAACTCAAATGGAAGGTGCTAAGAAAGAGCGAGAGGTTTATGGCTACAGAAATTGCTAATAAAAAAAAATGCAGTAAATTCAGTGATACTCACATTTCAAGCTAAGGTCTAATCATTTGCCAGTCTGCCAGGGTAAGAAACTCTTTAGCTGAACCAGCACAGATGATGTTCAAACACATAAATCTATCTACAGGGTGTTCAGAAACAACAGCTGGAAGAGAGGTGTACTGTCGAATGAGACCCGATGTCACTGAACTTCCAAGGGTCTTTAGTGCCTGGCAGGGGAAGGAGTCTTTAGTCCCCTGGCTGGGGAAGGAGCAGGTAGGGGGCTGCTGTATTCTTGTAGGGAGGTCTTGCAGAAAATCTGCTTGCTTTTATGTGTGGCTTCTCTCCTTTTGTCCCAAGTCCCAAAGGCCTTTGTGTGTTAACCTAAGTGCCATGAGCATATTGGTTGACTTGAGGACCTGAGAAACACACCTGGCTTTTGCATAGCAGTCAAGAGAAGTCCCTTCATGAAGCTTCCTTTCCCAGGCCAACTGGAGATTAAACTTTATGAAATCAGCTGGTCTTGGTGAAACTAAGTTCGCTCTCTAGAGCCATTGCTGGATCAGCAGTGCTCCAAGCTGGGCTCGGTTACACCCTTACCAAGGCAGGAGGGCTACTGCAGGGTCTGAAGGTAAGGGCTTACTTGAGGGATGAGATGCAGCAGTCCTGCAGGGGAGACAGCCTGGGTCTTGCTCTCCTCCCCTTGGTAATCACTGAACATGTTGCAAGAGGCTTTAATCCCAAAGATTGACCTGTTTTCTCAGTAATTACACGTCCCGGAGCTCTGACATGGTGACGCTGTGGGGCTGCAGAGGCACTTGCTGGAAGCGTGTAGATATGGCGGTGTCCATGCTGCAGCTGGTCTGGCCCGCAGCAGCAGCTCTGTGGGTTGTGGTGAGCTCCTAGCTCATCTCTCGCGCTGTAACTTCAAGCCAGTGGCAGGGTGAAGATCCATGTTGATCCAGAACATGTTCCTGTTTCTACTGGGCACTGGCTGGGGTCTTCCGCCACAGTGGTGGCTGTGCCAGCTGCCGGGATGGTCAGTGCTGCAGAGGGAGGGAGGAGAGCTGCCAGCCAGCTTGGGATATCCCATGCAGCATCCCGGGAAGGGAGCAGTTCTTGGGGATGTTGCTGTAGAAAACAAGGTCCCTGCTAAATCTGCTGGCTGCACTGAAGTGATTAGAAGAGAAAAAAATATTTCCCTCTGCAGCTTGGAACAAATGAGCAATGGAAATACTCTGACCCAAAATGTAAGACAGTCAACTGGGAATGTGTTATCTTCAAATTACGAATAGACTGCTGGTTTTGAACTCCCCTAAACAAACAAAGTGCTGGGGGTATACAAGTTGAAATGTGTTGACTAGCTTGCAGAGTGGTGGACGTGTGAACATAACTGCATAAAGCCATCCTGAAGCTGTGGTCTGGAAGAGAACAAAAGCCATGCTGTGTGAAGAACAGGAGCAACCATCTTCTCTTTCAGTTGCCTCCGTCCTGGGGTTTTGTAACTACTGCCACCTCTCTGATGCATGAACAAAGGCTGCTACTTCTTGCTTTCCTCATCTTTCCTTCACCTGCAGCAACCAGCTGCGGACCCGGGGTAGGGGACAGGGTGGGGACCCCCTGCCCGAGAGGTGGATGTGAATTGTGGGGTCTGCGAGCAGTCAGGCCGGTGCTGGGTAGCTGCTCTGCCTGATGCTGCTCCCTTACCGCTGCGCTGTTGCGTTTCCGTACGGGGCTTTGGCAGCCAGCAGAGGCTGGCAGCTCGCCCTCTGGATCTCAGGGGATCTCACTCCTCACAGAAGTCGAGCACAATCTTGGTGCCGCTGCAGCCAATGCTCACTATGCAAGCGGTCACAACTATGCAGGCACTCGAGTGTGTTTTTGCAGCTGATTTTCAAGCCACTTTGCAATTGCAAACAAGGAGTCGGCACAACGCAAGCAGCTGATTACTCCAAGCCTGCGACTGGATGACCACGCTCTAGCTTTTGCATGCTAACCAGCAGGGTCTTGTTAGGCAGGTGTCTCTTAAAGCCCTTTTCTCTCTTTCCACAGAGGCTGGATTTGCTGTCACAGCTATCTCCCGCACCCCTGGGGTGACCTACAATGAGTCCTTCGATCTCCAGTGCATCATCAAGCCCCACTACCCATCATGGGTGCCAGTGTCGGTGACGTGGCGTTTCCAGCCAGCAGGCAGCACTGAGTTTCACGACCTGGTCACCTTCACGCGCGATGGCGGGGTCCAGTGGGGTGACAGGTACATGGGTTTCCGGACCCGCACCGCTATCGAGAAGGCTGAGTCCAGCAACAACGTGCGTCTGAGCATCAGCAGGGCGAGCGACACGGAGGCCGGCAAGTACCAGTGCGTGGCTGAGCTCTGGAGGAAGAACTATAACAGCAGCTGGACACGGCTGGCAGACAGGACCTCCAACCTGCTGGAAATCAGGGTCCTGCGGCCAGGTGAGTGCCGAGAGCGCATAAGAGGGGCTGGGAGGTGCATTGCGGGAACAGGGTATGTACCAGTGCTGCAGTGGTCTCTCCAGAGTGAGGACTGCTCTCATGGCTGCAGCTGACATCTCACACTTGTGCATGGCTCAGCTGGAACTGCTTGGCTGTTTGGCCACAGATATGTTGGAGCTCCCTTATCCACCTCTGGGGAGCTGGGTTGTCTCTTTGCTCCTTGTGTGCTATTCATGGGGTTTTCTTCTGGGAAGCGACATGGCCGAAGCTCAATCCAGTCTCTCGGCTGTTCTTGTTAGACAGAGGTGACTTTCAGGTTGCCACGTCCATTCATCAGAGGAGACTAACCTGGGGAAGAGAGGAGAGGAACAGGGCAAACAGGATCAAAGACAGGCATGCTCCCACCAAAGCCTGCACGTGCACATGTGGCGTGAGGTACTGCAGCTCTTGTCTAGTAACTGGCTGCATCTTTTGATTTGCTGGAGGCATCTTCAAAAGCAGCTAGCGATCAAAGAGCGTGACTTTCATCCCCACCAGAAACTGAGCCTTTTTCCACTGGAAATCACCAAGGCCATGGGTGCCCACACAGAGTGTGCAACAGCTGGGCAACAGACATCTGGCTTGGCACAGAGAGTCAGAAAACTTACAAGGTGCTTGTGCTCCCTATACAGCCAATGGAGAGAGTTAGGTGCTTTCTGTAGACCTTGTCACTGATGTTTCGGTGGTGCCTTTTATTGTCCGTGAAGCGTGCAAAGATACATAGTCAAGGCAGCTCCCAACCGTTGCTGAGCTGAACAGTTTATTGCTGTCTCAGCTTTAGGGCTGGAATTGATGTCTGGAGTGAGGCACCTTCAAGACTCTTGGCTCAGGTCCTTGCAGCATGGTAGTCCTCCCTTTGTGTGCCTGTGCAGAGGGACTCCTTCCTAGGGTCTGTCTTCTGGCTTGGGCTTTGTGTTTTTCCCCTCAGTGGCCCTTTTCATACTGTCCTCCGCCTTCCCCGACACTTAGCATGTCTTTAGAAAAGTCAGGGGATGCTGGCAGCTCCAGGCGCCTTACAAGCTCTCTGTGATCTTTCTTCCCTCTGTCCTTCCTTTCCCCATCTCCAGGTTAATCTTCTCCATTTATCTTGATTATCCTGCCTTGTAATACGTGTTTTACTGCTTGCAAGGTCAGGTTGGTGATGTTCATCATTTTAGCTTATTTCCCTAGGAAACAGCATCGACTGGATATGGTCCCTGGAGTGATATGCTTCTTCATGGCACATCTCTGTGCATGCATATGTGCGTGAAACAGAGAGAGAAAGAGAAATCCTTGATAACAGCTTCCAGAAGAGAGCCTCTGTGCCACAGCTGAGAGTGGAGAGGAGGACATTAAACCGTGCTCTGGCAGCCACTTCTTTACTGGAGCAGTGACCATGAAGTGATGCCTTACAGAGCAACGTCTCCATGGTTTTTACCTCTCCCTATCTCCCTGCTGCTCAACAAACTACTGCTACACAAATCTTAGCTGTCAGTCCAATAAGCCTTGCATAATGTTTGTGGTTTTATGGCTCACAAGCCGGGATGGAAGAGAGGGACTCCTCAGAGCGTCCCCAGCACCATGGTTGCGCTCTCTTTGTGTTTTGTTTCCATGTCCCAGGCAGCCTTTGAGAGCGGATGGTTGATGTTCTCCGCGAATCCAGTGCTGATAGTTGTACCAGCGACTGCTGCGGTTCTCTCTGGTTTTGCAGGCTGCAGAGGGTTACATCGTGTCGTTACTGGGTCTTTGGCTGGATAATCTCCAGAGAGGATCCAGAATGAAGTGGGACATACCTTTCTCGGACACCTCTGAGTCAGCATCCTAGAACCCACACAGTCAGGCCTGTGCTGATGAAGCAGGTGCTTGTTTTCAGGTTAATATCCAGGGCTTCTTCAGAAGGGGTCATTCAGGACCCCTACATGGTTGAACATCTGAGAGATCTGTCAGTCTAATTCTGTGTCTCTATAGTCACCTTAATCTGAGATAACTTCAGGCTGTATTGGGTGTCTTAGTCCTATCTTTCTCCTTTCTCTTGCCACTAGCCACGGGTTCCTGCCTTGACCCATATGCCAGTGGGTTTGGGGTGAACTGTCTCTGCTACTGATTCACTAAGGGACGCTGTGAAGAAGGCTTGTTTTCTGCAGGTTTTTTGGCAAATTGAACCAGTGTGTGTTTCCAGATTGTAAGTTAACGTTGGGATTCTACTTTTCTCCTTGCTCCCTGTTTGTCAGAGTGACCTTTCTATTTGACAGGTTCCAGGTGCAGATGTCACAATCAATATATGTCAGCCTTTAAAGTGTGTTCAGGTGAGAAAGGTAAAATAGCAGCTGCCCGATTGCTTCATTAATCTCTTTGGTTTGTGAAATCCAACGTCCTTAAGGGACAGGGTGCTGGAGCTTCTCCTGGTGTGTCGGTTTGCCGTTTCAATGCTTAGGCTGTCTCTCCTTGGCACTCTTCCAGCGAGTAGTGTTTGTAGTTGTCATCCGTGCTGAGTGGTAACTGCAGAGGTGGCAGTGCTGGTTTTGAGTTGCGGGTATTAATGTGGCTGCAAAGTAATTTCACCTACGGCTATCTTGTGGCCAACAGGTAATGCTGAGGAAACATCAGCAGCTTGAAACACTTTCTTTCCTACACCCAGGAAGAAACAAGCAATATTTGAGAAATGAAACACTTAGTTCCTGAAGGAGGGAGTGAATAAAGCAGGCAATGGCAGCATTAACACAGCCCTGAACACAAGGTCTGTAGGTGGGATGGCACAAACGTCCTGTGTGGCATCTGGAGACAGATTTGGCCTTTGAGTGTGACGTTTCTGGCCCCTTGTGCATGAAGCTGTTGTAAGGACTAGCAGTGTGAGGAAGAGCCCTATAAAGGGTGCTGGGTGTATGTGTGAGAGCTTATAGAGAACTTAGGTATCCTGAGGGCATGGTCACTTGCTGGTGTGTGAAAACTCAGCAGCAGCAGCAGTAGGAACTGAAGCTCCCATTCATGGCTTGTTCCTCGAGGTCGCGCAAGCCTGCACACCTTGGGTTGCTAAGTAGAGGGAGAGTTGTGCGCAGGTAGGGGCGTGCAGGCCTAGGTAGCTTGTGTGAGCTTTGCAGGGAGAGAGACCTGTGCTGCTGTTGGGTAAGTGCTGGGTTTTAACTTCTGTTGGCTGGATCAGAAATCCAGGGTGGTGTTGGGGCTCTGTCGGGCAGGATTGTGGACCAGGCTGCCTAGATTGCCTGTGGCCAGTTTGTGTTCTTACAACGCAGTGCTCTCCTTTTACTTCCACCTCTCGAGCTGTGGAAAGGTTGTTTCTTTCTTGGTGAGCTCATGTTGCAGCAGAGGGGGAGGAACAATAAAAGTACAGCTCGATTCACACCAGCTGCTTCCCTGAAGCCAAAGCTGGCAGGAGACCACGCAGAGGAGCGTGGGCTGAGCTTGGAGCGAGGCCCAAGTGCAGGGGTGGAGATTTCTTCCCACCCACATCCTTGTGTTCGGGGCTCCCCTTCCGCTGCGGTATCTGGCCTGCCTCTGAAACCCTGGGTCTTTCATCCCTGAAATCTGGGGCTTGCCCCAAGGGTTCACCACCCCTTTCCCTTCTAGAGACAGAGGCTTGCCTTGCTCTTTGCACACTTGCCCCTTTCCAGATGGAGAAGAGCATTCTCCATGCAAGCTTTACTAGATGTGTCCTGTCCTTGGAGGGGACAAGTGTGGTGACTCCCTGGCACTTGCTCATCTCTTGGGTTTTAGGGAAGGCAGAGGTGCAGGCGGTTCCTTTTGAATCCAGGTGACCCTGGAAGCATTTGAATTTGGGCTGAGCTCTTGGTGTGAGGACGCTGGCTGAGCAGTATCCCTTTGCTGCTCTCTGCCGCCTTCCTCACTCAGTGTGGAGGGGGAATAGTGCCCAGGCTCCGGGTCCTTCCTGGGGAGGGAAGGTGGTAGATAGATGCGTGTGGGTCAAGGGGAGACTCAAGGGCTGTCAGGTGGTCTCTGTTCCCGGCTCCCTCTTGGATCTTGCTTCTCCCTGCCAGGTTTTAAGGGATGGGATGGCCGAGACACGAGGCGCTGCTTGCGAGCAGCGTGCATCCATGCGATCTGCGGGACTCAGACAAGGGCAGCAGACAGTCTCTGGAGGCACAGTCCATGATGGGGGCTGTGCTGCAATCTGGACAGGCTAGGACATCTGGATAGGACTCTTTTGGCAAGGAGGCTTGAGCAGATTTGTGCTGGCATATTTAAATTGCCATTGTCTTCATGTGCATTACTGTACTTATCTTTCCCCTGCAGCACAAGCAAGGGGGTGATTCAGCAGAGCTTTGAGAGGGCCTGGGGTCTGAGTGCTGAGGAGTCTCTCTGGCAACAGCAGGATAAAAAAGCAGGGCTTTCACAGAAGTAGGAGGTTGTGGCAATCCCCTGGAGCATCCCCTTACCCCTTTCATACTCAGGCACAGACCGGCCCATCCAGACGTGCAGGGCACCCACCTCCCCATGCCTCTGTGCTCTTCCCACCCCTCTGTTCTTGCGTTGTCTCTCGGTTGGTTCCTTTGTGACTAATCCTGGAGCAGGCGTACGGGGAGAAGCTACAATCGCCTCTATAAATCTGCCCTCTTGCTGCCGGGTTTTTGACAGTAATGAGTGTGGGAGGAGGGATGGGGAGGGATGGCGGAGGATGATAACCAAGCAGACGCCAGGGGTGCTGAGCTCCTCGCTGCTTTTTTGCAATCTGGGCTACAGCAGATTGATTGACCTGGGAGCCGTCGAGCAAACAAGGCAGTCAGGCTCTTCATTAGAGCATTAATTAGCTTCCAGGGGCTCTCCAGGGGCTGCTTTGTACAGTTTGGTTTATTAGGAGCTGTCAAGTTGAAACCATCGTGGAGGGGGAGGGTGGAGGCTCCTCAAGCTGGCCTTGGAGAAGCCAGGGGAGGCTTGTGCCTGAACCTTACTTTGAGAGTAGAGTGAGCCAGAGCTGTGCTTCTGCTGAAACCTTGCACCGAGGTGGG